GAGAAGGATGTACTGAATTGGGTTATTTAAGGTACAAGAGTGATCACTTGGACCTATGAGTACTCTACAATCACCCTAAATCTAGATAAAGAAAAGACTGAACTATCTCGGCCAAACATGTTTCAAGACCACTTCTTTGAGATATCTCAGTCGCCAAGAAACCATTCACTCCTTGCAGAAAGTGAAGAATATTGGTGTAATATTTGATAGTCATTTTTGTTTCAATGAACACGTTGCTAATGTTTGCAAATCTTCATTTATCATCCCCGAAACAACAACATCGTGAAGCACCTAATGCTGACCATCACTGAACTACTCATTCCTGCATTTGAGTCTACCTCACAGCACATCCAGAATGCTGCTACTTGACTCATCACACTTACAAGAAAGCAAGACCATATTACACACACTTTTAAATTATTACCAGCTTCCAGTGAATCATTGCATAATTCTAGAATTTTATTCATAACCCATAAGGCACTGGATTACTTTTTCCTTGTTAACAGCTGCATGCTGACTTAAACTGTTTGCAAAACAAACCAGTTTGCAGTTCAAAGTCCAAGTGGAAAAGAAATCATACCTTGTTAAGGGAACTGACTTTAGGGAGATTTTTTGGTATGTTGATAATTGTCATGAACATCCATTATTTGTCATCACTTACAGAGTATTACATTTCAGGCATCCCTGAATTTGGAAAGGTGATGCCAAAAAAAAGACTCAAAGATAAATATATATTTACATCCAAATGATAGCTCTTAGATGCCACCTTGGAATTCTGCCGAGGCACATACACGTTACCAACTAAGGCCACTCCTAGAAAGCGTAACAGTTAATTCGTCCCACTGTCATACCCACAATAACAAGCAGGAAGTGGAAGAAGCAAGGGTCAAGTATAAGGGGTACACTTCTCTCAAACAGTATATGCCAATTAAATCCATCAAACAACTAATGAAAACGTGTAGAGCTGATATTTTTTCAGGGTACTAAGGTAACTTTAACTCTGGACATTACCAGTGTGTAGAAGGGTTTGTTTACTTTGTCATTGGTGGCATCTACCTGGAAATCAAGGGAAAGTGATAAAAAGACCAAATACATCCCAAAAAGTTTTCCCTAAGGTGGTGCTAGACTGTGCAGCTTTCTCTCTGGAAACATTTGACTCTACTGATCTTTACTTTCATTTAAAACCAGAATTAACTAAAACATGTCAGAGCTAAGTCAGATTAGAGATATTGTAGATTAGGTTATCACTTAATATCTTTTAATACTTTTTAAATAACTTCTTCAAATTTAGTTATTTAGATTTTTTTCCATTTTCACCCTTAAATGCAGTCTTAATGTCTAATTTTAGGCCACTTCCACTCAATTATGAATATACCTCCACCTGGAACTGAGAAATCTCTCCACAGCAACTTGGCAACGAATGGCAAAAGCTGGGCTACTTGTCACACAAGCCAAGAATGTGAACAGCATAAGCCTCACAACCACATGGATAAGACTTTTCTAGAATATCAGGCATGGTCATTGCCAAGCTAAAGACTGAATGTTAGACTAGGTGCAGATAACTTATTGCAGAAGTGCCTTCATGGCAAGAAACAGAATCAAAACGGATCTTTGAATGAGATGGTGGAAGTGATACATTAAAATAAGTACTGTAGGAGGCACTTTCTCATTTCAACATTGGTTAAGTTGCTGTTGCTAGCCTTTTCCAAGCCCTTGACATTCCTCCTTACAAATATACAGAAGAAGGTTACAGACTTCAAGGTCTGCTCAGTGTAGATGTTGCACAAAATAAAAGCAAGTATCAAGAAGACTTGAAAAGATCTGAGGCTTTAGAAAACATGATCAAAAGAAGCAAAATGAAGGCGGAAACTATGACCCTGGTGCGCTCTGAGCGGCTTTATTCATGGTAGTTGGTGCAGTAAAGTTGCTTTACAGATGATGGTTCTTTGTTAATCAACCTGGTATTACAGACAAGCACTTCTTTGAGGTCGACAGCACCTTGTGGCAAATGCTTTCTTTCACCCCTGTATGGTCAACATTCTGTTTTCGCGAGATGAAGAATTTCCAGTATTCAGTGGCTGTGAGTTCTGCTAGGAAAATCAGAGTCACCTTTGACCAAGGATTGACTCTTGTTCAACACGTCACTGCCATATTTAAAATTTGCTTTCTTCATCTTAGGAATATAGCTATATAATAAGAGACAGTCTCTCACAAAAAGATGCTGAAATCTCAGTTTCTCAGAAATCTCTTTTATATCCTCTACATTAAATAGTTGTAATTCATTTATTGATGGCTCTCCTCAATCTCTGATTGGCCGTCTATAAGCTGTCCAAAACTGTGCTGCACACCTTGTAACTAGTTCCAGGAAACATGATCATATCACACCGACTCTCAAACAGTTACACTGGCTTCCCATGTACAGCTGTATCAAATACAAGATACTTCTGTTAACCTTTAAGGCCTTACATAGGTTAGCACCTTCCTATATAACATAAATGTTACAGCCCTGCAAACCATCAAGAAGCTTATGATCTTCTAAGTGGCTTCTCACAATACCATCAGCAAAATTGAAGAAACATGGCTGTAGATCATTCTCATTTGCAGCACCTACAATTTGGAACTCACTACCAGAACCCATACATAATCATGATGATATTTCAAGATTTAAAACTTCTATAAAGACTTTCTCATTCAAAGAACATTTTGAGTAAAGTTCTGTTAGAAATATTGCAATAAGAATTTGAATTTTAAATTTTTTCCTTAATTTTAATCAATTTTAGATAGGAATTTTTAATTTGTACTTTTATTTATTTGTGTTTTGTTATTGATGTCATTTTTGATCGACAAAATTTTTGGTCTTGAATATTCAGTTGAAAAGCACCGTGAGCATGTAGATATGGTGCTACAAAAATCCTTATTATTATTATCATTAAGTCTCCTCCTGTGCTGTGGTCACAGATGTAACTTTTCTGGGAATAAAACAGAGAACGTTGAAACACATTCCTTGTGGATTGAAATTGTTTTGAAAAACTACACATAGCCAATGTGAAAACCACCTTAACACTCCTTCAGCTCAAAAAAACGATCTCAGTCTAAAGGTGAAAGACTAAAGCTCTCTGGTTTCTGATTGTGCAACACTGATAACTGGTCACTTTGTGGCGTGGCTAGTCATCTCAAGAACGTAAATCCACATGTGATCTCATTGCATTGCTTGTGCCACAAGCTTGCACCAAAGTAAAACTGCAGCTTTCATCAAAAATTGGCAATAGGTGGGCCTTGTCAGATGACCAATTTTGTGGCGAGAGGCAACACCAGAGGGTCCATTTTTCACAGCAAGTGTACGGGGCAACTACTTTCTGCTATTAGGGTTCTCTGCCACTGCTTGAACTTTTCAATTAAATGAGGTAATAATAAGAAATGGAATGGCCATAAAGAAATTATAAGAAATAACCACCAAAATTTAATTTTTTTGTTCACCGTTCCTTACCAACACCTTTTGAAAGCTTAAAAAAAGCTTTTAGAGCATCATATGCTCATCAAAACAATACAACAGCCATACAGTAACACTATGATCTTCCTTGTGACCATCAAAATTTCACAAGAACTAAAGGGAAGAGAAGAGAAGCAGAGGCCATTCAAAGTATCAACAGTTTGTTAATTTCAATCAAGTTTCGTCTTCTTAGTTATTAAATTTATCTAAAATATATATCGCTTGAGAAAAACTGTGAAATTTCTTCAACCACAGTCACAAAAAGTCAATTATTGAAAATAAAATTTTGACAGTTTAAAACAAAATTCTATGGTTTAGGTGTATACATTTATCAAGAGAGCGTTACGCTGCTGATTTTAAAACATATACAAACAACCACAGTTACTAATTTAACATATCATACTACAGGACAATTAAGGAAAGTGCCAAAAATGTATCACTACAGTCTAGCAAGTTTAAAATATAAATAGCTTAAACATCCTGAATGTATCCTAACTAAAGTTTCTGTGCTACCCTAATTGCCCCATGATGTAGTCTGTTACATAGCAGTCTACAGACATGGTGCTGGGTGGATGTAGCTATTCACCATTCAGTTTGATCTCATTTGGTCATTAAAATATTTTTCACAATAGAAAGAAAAAGCAAAACAGAAAGCTAATAAAAAATAGGTTTCTTAGAATAAAGAAGGCCATATGAACCATCACCACAAGCTCAGCCTGTTAAAAGAAATAGATCATTCATGACCCATGCTTGACTTTTTTTGAGTCAGTATGGTGAACTGCCTCACTTCAGGAAAAATTTGGACACGATCAGATGCATTATAGAAGTGCAAGTTATCATCAATTTTAACCTCACCCTAAATACTATACAAACAACTCACTACATTACAATGGTTTGTCATAAATGAAAAATCTCTGCAGCACCACTTCCCTTAATGCTACATTATCTTTGTTGCCAAACCTTCCCATCTTCTGATTAAGCAAACTTTTTGGTAAATTGTAACAATTAGACATGTCACCAATTTTGATTAGGACTTCTATACACTGTATTCATAAATGGCCACTATGCAGAGCGGCCTGGATTCAAGAACAAATGAGGATGGAAATGAGGTTGGAAAGGTCTCAGGAAAGTCAACAACAAAGACATGATGGTGTCATCCAGCTCCTAGTTGGCAGAAAACAACATTATTCCCACTGAGGAATTGAAGTTTTGGTTAAGATGTTGTGGTTATTCACTTAAGGGACTCAAAACGAAAGCGTGCCTTGCAAAACAGTGAGCACACGCAACTATTTAAACATGTGGCTGTGAAAATCTTACATTGATAATCTTTGTTTTTATCATAGAGTCCAAGAATATATCACGTCTGGTCAAGATAAAATGATAGTTGATCTGGATCCTGATGAGATTTATACTAAAGGGAAGACTAGGCTTTTGACCTTTCAACCAAATGCTCCACTGAAACTTCAACCTCAAAATATCTAAGTGATGGCTGAGAAATTCACTGGAAAGAATGCCTACGTTTACGCCAGCAGAAATGAACCACCACATCAAAGATTCTGAAAAAAGAGAGGGAAATGCAGATCATCATTCTATCCGCACAAACTTGAGGAAGGCAAAGACATTTTTAAAGGATGTGTACCTCAGAGATATAGAAGCAAACAGTTATCAAAGGTACTTTGACATGAGAGCAAATTGCTACCATAGCTTCAGAAAGAAAGATGCTCCCCACAGTCTTTGATTTGTGCTTTGCATCGTTTTAGGTCAAGTTATGCATGCCAACTGTTTATGTAAAGCTGGAAATGTGAGTAATTGCAATCATGTTCTTGCCTTACTGTTTAGAGCATGCAAGTTTAGCTTTTATGACAGCAAGAAAACTGATGACCTGAACCTGGAAAATGATGAACATCCTGATTTAGGATGCACTTCACAACTTCAGAGATGACACACCAAAGGCCGTGGCGACAACATCTGTCACTCCCGACTCCCCTGAGTAGGATTTTGTCATTTTTGCGGTCACGTGACCACGCAAGCAATCTTGTTGTATTCGCCAAGTGCTTTCAAGTGCCAGATTTATTTGTTGTTAAATACGGAGTTTACAGAGCTTATTTCGTTTATTTTAAACCGAGAGGCCATACAGTTCGGTAAGTGGACATTTGTGGACATTTGTAAACGTTTTGAAGAACATATAAGACATTGGACATTTATATTTTTTGCAGAAAACCACTCGCATCGCCTTTACGTAAACAAGGAACGTGTCGATTGTGAGTTTTCACTGTGTGCCTCGGATTGTGCAACTGTGTTATATTTTGTGGTCCGTGGCCGTACGGACTTTGAACATTTGGAGATATTTGTGAATAAACCAGTACGTTATTGACAACATCCATCCTCAACCTCTAATGGAAATTACTGTTTCCAAAACAAATCTGGATGAAACAAAAATAAGGGAAGAAGTCTCTGCTGTATGAAGCTACGATGAATCCTAACCATGACCTCCAATCAGAAGTGGAACTTAAGAAGACCCTTCAAGGTATAAACCCACAGTTCAGTTAATCACTGATGGCTGCGGAAAATTTATCACAAGCCTTTGCGCAAACCAAATTTGGTCAGAGTCAGACAGGATCAATCTGTAGTTATCAGCTAACTCGTACATAAGCAAATTTTAGTGCCACCATTAACATTGCCTCAATTCATCGATTAAACAACTCTCCACCAACAGAACTGACCTACCCCAAATTTCCTTTATCTGCAATGGATACATTTTTTATTTCTGATAGCCTGAATGATGCTGAAAAAGTACTCCTTCGGACTCTTGAAATTGATGAGAATTGTATTAACAGCAATGAATCTGCCACAAAGGAGCAATCAAATTCTAATCTCTGAAAGAATGAGCATAAATATGGATTCACAGCTTCAAGATTTCAGCTAATAAGTAAAAGGTAAAGAAACCATGACAAGTTTGCTGCTGAGCTCATTAACCCACAATCATTCTCCTCCAGACACGTTGAAAATGGACTGAAATATACTTAATAGCATGAATCAACAACTTTCTCAGCCCTTCTTTGGTGAGAAGTTTGAAGAGACCTTCTCTCCGATTTCTTCCTTGCGATATTCTTTCTTTGTACATAGCTGCATGCTGCAATGCGGTGGCATCTTGGGTGCTGCTGAAAACACTGTCACCCAAATACTTGAAGTGCATTACAATGAGCAGGTAACAGCTAACAAAGGCAACAGCAGTGGTATATGGAAAACAATCAGACGTGCCCTTCCCAAGAAGTCCTCTAAGTTGTCATGACCGGAAGCGAGTTGTGTTACCTTTTTATGTTACATGCATGAACTGATTGCGAAATGCATGATTGTAACAATAGGCTATTCATCTTAAGGAAAAAATAAAGAATTACAGACAGATGAGATCGATTTTGGAGAGAGAATACCACGACGTGTACCCACAAAGTGAGAGCTGAAAATCGTGAGAAATATTAAATCTGGTGAAAATCTTCATACGTGAGAGTTTCCTTTGTCGGCGAGCACCATTTCCCGACAAAGTGTCATCAGTAAACCAAAGATACCAGTATACGAAGGAACAAGTTTGAGAGATTGCACAGAAATGCGATCTCGACACCCGCCCCTCCTTGGCCACTGCCAACAAGTTGTACATTAACAAAGAACATTTGAATTCCAACAAGTATGCTGTGATGATGTAAGAAAAGCGATTATGCCCTTGTCCTCCAATAAATCCCTGGGCCTTGACAAACTACCAAGCTCCTCTATGTTATCTGTACTATGTCATATAAATAGAGTACCACACCTTTTCTCTAGAGAGGTGTTTTTACCTTTTAACTGAATATTCTCACTTGTTCAACGATTTCTTATTCTAGTGTTGGGAAGCCTGTGCCTCCCACAAGGCATAGCAGTCTTTGAGCAAACACGAGAAAAATGAGTGGCCAAAATGCGAGTTTTTTAATTGGAAAAAAGACAATTCAGTGTTTGAAATCCCCAGGTTTACTTATTGCTCGTATATTTTTCATTTAGCAAATTGTGCAAATGTTAAGAAGAGTATGTGGTGTAACGCTTCTTATATCAATTTGTTGCGTGACGGAAACAGGCATGCGCAGTAGATTTAGGGGCGTTCACTATTTTAGTTCTCTAGTACATTGCGTAACGTAGTCTACGTGTGCCTTCCAAAACAACGTAACGAGAAAGGTTCTGTTCTTGTACAAAAGGGAAAAGGTATGATTTTACGTTGATTATATGTTTTGTTTAGCCTTTTCTTCGTTGATTGTTTGTGTGAAATACTAATTTCGTCTCAAGTTTTGTCAATTTAAGATTGTAATGTTTGTACGAATATTTAGCTCACGCAGAGTTCCAATCTATTGTGTAAATCTCGTTTTAGTTTCATCGAACGATCCGTTTGTAATGTTAGGTCCATTAAGTGTATTTTTTGTCATTCTTGTTACAGTTTTTACGTGCTATTTCCGTGCTATTAAAATGATGAACATCAAACGCATCGTCTATTCATCTATTGAACGTCTTCAACGTAAACGCCAGCTACATGTGGACCTGACATGATCTCGATTGTTGGAGTTTGTGAATAAATTGTGGATTTGTGACTACAAGACATACTACACACAATGTTGAACGCATAAGTATTCAGCAAATTGTTCTGCTGTTCCACTGTCTGGGCCAGAACATCAAAGAACAATCTTCACAAGCTGCAGCTACTGCAAAACTTTGAAGCATGCATTTTGATGAACACTAGAAAGTTTGACCACATAACGCCAGTCCTCAAAGAACTTGGATGGCTCACTATTAAAAAGTTGCTAAGCCTACAGGATGTCACATTGGTATATAAATGTTGTAACAGGCTAACCCCAGCATATTTGAGCTCTAAGCTAGTTAAAAACTTGGACATTAATAAGCACCAAACTAGATAGAAAGACAACCTTAGATTGCCAAGGTGTTCTTTTTTATAGAGCTACATGTATTAAGACATGGAATACTCTAACAACCAAAACAAGGACCATGAAATCACTAGCACAATTTAAACAAAAGGCAAAACATGAACAACAAGGATGGATAATATTATTTAACACCATAAAGCATATATAATTATCGATATATGACTGTAGATGTTTTAGTAGTTGGATCCTGGAACTTTTAACTTGATTTTTAATAATAATATTTTTAAATTGGATAGATGGATACTACATTTTACCCCTTAAATTGGTTTTGAAAAACCCACTTGGGAAAATCAATAAAGTTATTGTATTTTATTGGAAATTGACAGAAAGGATTGTGAGGATTGTTATTCAAGTTTAAATAACTTCTCTTAAAAGATAAATGAACAAATCTAGCAACCAAATTCTCAATATACATACTAAATTGTTTTTTGTTTATGATCAGTTTTTTTTTCCAGAAAAATAAGATGAGAGTAATAAGGAACCTTACTGTCTATTTTGCACTACTTACTTCTCAGTAAGTTGTCATTTTAAAGTAAATTAGCATTGCCATTTTATTTTCCTTTTTTTGTTTTCAATGTTTCTCTTTCTGTATCTTTATCAATGTTATATCTTTTATATTTATATTTTACATAATATCATTCTTAGTGCACATTTATATATACATACATATATATATATATAGAGGATATTTTTAGTACATATACATAGGATATATTTGATGGAGCACGGCCACAAGTTTATCAGTATAGTAACTATTTCTTCCTTAGAATAGACTGATTGATTGATGATGCAATAGCTGGTATCTCTTAATTGGTCTTGGAGATGTACCCCAACATCAAAGAACTGCTTATTGCAGGAGACAGTGAAGTGACCATAGATGACATCAAGGGTTTTCTACAGTCATCAACATAGAATTCAGCAATATCAAATTTATCTTCTCATCCACATGTTCATTTCACATAACATTACACAGGTCCTTCCCAGACCAAGATAAATTTTCTACTTCACTTGAGGCTATCTGGGAATCAATGGAAAAGCCTTTTCTGGCCCTGTTTAAAATCTGTAGGTATTGTTGTAAGATGGATTCCAGCTGTATGAGGTATAATAGTTTGTCTTAATGCATTTTGTATTTCATTGTAAATCTGTAACCACAACTAGTTATTTTCCTGACAATTCTGTTTAGGACTTCAAAAAAGTTCTAATGAATTCATTGCTCATTCACTTGTAAGGTTTCTAAGGATGTTGCCAATATTGATTATGACTTCAATTAAGAAGTAGCTAATGTCCTTCTAGACTGTTAGCTTCCAATGAAATTCACAGTGAGCATTGCAAGGATTGCCTTGAGTTTTATTTCCTTTTTAGAAAAGATTAATGAACAAATCAAGAAACCACATTCTCAAAGTAATTAACAATTAGTTGGAGCCCTTCCTAGTCTTTACCACCAGTTCAACATGTGTACCCCAGTTTTGGCTCAATGTCAGCAAGATAAAGTCCAACAATAGAGAACCTATCCATCTCATCCACAAGTTCATTTTGTCTAACATTACAAAGGTCCATCTCAGACCAAGGTAAATTTCCTCTCCACTCAAGGCTGTATGTGAGAACAATGGAATAGCCTCTACCAGCCTTATTTAGTTACCATAGGTATTTCTGCATGGTGAATTCCAGCTTTTGCAGATAATGCAATTTGATTTGTTGTAATGTTTATATTCCCAATTTTTAATTTGTAATTTGTAATTAATGTAATATGCACTTTAATATAACATACAATGTATGTAAATACTGTAAAGTTTTTTTAAGGGCTAATTTTGCATTTCATATTTCTATATGTACTTTGTTATACTTGTGACCAGGCTCACAAAATGCATGACATTTTTGTCATAGTTTTAGAGTTACATCTGCATGAACTATTTCCTATTGATAATCAAATCATCCCACACACAGGATTTGCATAAAAAATTTCCTTTATGTCGCACTACCACACCTAGCTTCAAAATCATAAGAATTTCCTGCTATTGTTAGATCCCTTATAAGAGAAGAACAGTTAGTTTAATTCAGTAGTTCAGAGTGTCAAGACCTGCACTTACAAGCTCAGGACCTCTTGGTTACAAAAAGTAACTCCATTGTAACCGCAAGTTGGTGACCTATTTGACTACTGAGGATTTGGTATGTCACATTTGACCTTGGTATTATGTCAGAGTTTAAGTTCAAGAATTATACAGTTGATATGTACTTATCTTAATCCAATTGTCTAGTCTTGAATCCTTAGCTGATTCATGTTCTAAATTTGTCTAGAGTGTAGTCAGCTTTCAGAACATTGTATTAATCTGTACCTTTCATTCACTAGACATGTTATGCAATACTGTAGTAGACTTAGTTCATTGGTGAAATCGGATATTTCATTGTAGTTTTCATTGTTTAGTTCATCAGTAATGACATGTTGTCCTGTCACAGAATGATATGTTGCCAGTTTTCCTAGTTTCATGTCAAAGGGAAAATTTGAAAATGCTATTGAGACTAGTTTTATTTAATATTGTTGTTTTGAGCTATTGTTTTATCAGTATTTACTTGTTTTCAGTTATTTTATGTTTAATTCTAAGAATAGCTTGCTATTCAATAGTTATGTTTGAATAAGAGGTTTTATTTTATTAAATGTCACACAATGATCACTGTTATGTCATGCAACACTTTAAAATTGTCTTGTTTGTTAAATTCAGTGCATTGCCATGACAATCTATTGTACTTTTACTAGTTGTTTTATTTTCATTATTTCAATTACTTTATCATAAATTATTAATTTGTAATTTGCTATTTGTTATTTATTTCTTTTCGCTAGCAATCACCCTTTTCTTTTCTTGTATTTTCTAGTATAAATAATTTATTTGTGGCTATAAGTGTCTCGTTGTTCAAATAACATCAGAACCTGCCTAGGTCACATACTTGTATTATTTTAACAGTCTCCCATTCAATTCAAGCTTGCTACTGAACTTTTTTTCACTGAACATTGCTAGACATATTTTGTAGATTTAAATTATTGTCTGCAGGCTCTCAATCAATCCAGCTTGCCAGCCTGGATAAATGCTAATAAATTAGTATATTAAACAATTCTTCAGTTTCACTTTGTAAACATTATCCACTCAAAATCGCATTCATAGGATTACATTTGTTAAATTGATAAACTTTCGTTGGACTTACTTTTTGTCATTAATAATTATACTATATATATTCATCAACTATTTCATAATGGAGACCTCAGAGAGGTCAGTTGGAACCACACTACTAAGAGGTTTAATTGCTCTCCATGTAGGACTTCAAACTGTAGCTGCAATGTTTT